GGCTCCTTGGGCGGCTGCTCGTCTTCTGCAGCATCGATATTTAAGCACTCGTCCTCCCGGCCGACCGGAGGTCTGGGGTAGGCTGCTGGTGCCAGTTCAGGCTCCAGGTCATCCTTGGCAGGCAGCACAGACTTTGTGTTCACAGTAGCAGCTTTGCTTGGGGAATAGGTGGGGCATGTGTTCTTCATGCTTTTGTCCTGGGGCTGGACGTGCCTTGAAGGGAGAGAACACAGGGTCTTCTTAAAGCCCAGAAAATAAAGCCGCTGAGTGAAAACCAACCAACCCACCAACCCCACAAACCAAAGCAGCTGATGGCAGATTAGGAGTTTCACAAACAGTTTACCTGGAATGTGGCATCCAAGTAGGCCCTGTTAAGAAAAGACAAAAACATTTGTAGCTCAGCAAACAAACAAGAAATCACAAACAAGCTCCCTCACAGCATCCCTCTGTTGTCTGTCCCTCCGAAGCATCCCAACATGGTGCAGGAGCAGCTACTCCAACCCCAGCCTCCTCCCACATCCAAACTAACCAGTGAAGGCAGCTCAACGGGGCAGTGACCATTAGAGACAGAGAGTAAAGACCCCACGTCCGTTTGAAACCACACGAGGAGTCCAGTTAGGAAAGCTCAGCGTTGGCCAACCAACGCCCCCGAGCGCAGCGAGTCGCGGTAATCGGCAGCGGCCGGCCGGCACGCCACGCCGCTTTCGGGCTCTGTTCAAGCCCCAGCAGCTGCTGAGCCCTCCCGGTGTCACGGAGGTACAATGATGTCTCAGAGAAACAGAGGAACTGGCTGAAGCCCTCGGCATTGTCTCTCCCTGGGAAGATCCCATGGGAACAGCGTTGTGGGGGACACAGCTGAGCTCCAGGCAGAGCCTCACTTGAAGCTTAACGCTGCCATCTCCATAACAATGGAGATTCATTCAGGCAGAGCACAATGTATTATGGCCTCTATTCACTTTTTGCAACTTTTCTGCTCCTTTTCCAGCTCTTACCTCGGAAAATGATGTTACTAAACTCGTGTGAGGGATTGAAGACCAGATGTTTGGCCATTGCATCACCCTCAGATGTTACAAAGAGACAAGAGGAACAGGAGAGCTTCACACCACTGGAAACGGGAAAAAAAAGAAGTGAGTTTAGTATCAGTATCAGATACGAAAATCCATACATCCTCTCATGAACAATCAGGAATAAAAGGCCACCCTCCAGTGCACACACACAGTGTCCCCACCCTGAACCATTAACTCCCACTGGAAGGCAACACATTGCCCTTAAATCAACATATTTCCCTACGGGGCAAAAACCAAGCAGAGCTGCTTCAGGAGCAGATCATGAAAGCAAAGAACAGGACCAGAAGATGGGAAAGGGAATATACATCAGACCCCCGCGTGATTAAAATAAGACGACAAGTTTTCCATTACCAGGCAGTATAGTTTTTAAACAAAGCCAAGTATTTTGGACTCTTCCGAGGAACGTGGTTACTGTAAGACAAAAGAGTTTGTTAAATGTCAGAGTTACTCCGGGTATGGGAAGAGCTACAAAACCATGCAAAACAGCACATTTCCACAGACCCAGTCCCGGGTTTACCAATAGTTTGTCTGCCAGCATTGCACCCAAGGAAAGGAAAACTCCGTGTCTAAATAACAACAACTGTACAGTTGCATTTGAAAACGTCTGGATTTTGGAGGAACTGTTCTGCCACCCTCTTCTGCAGTCCGTCCACGGTCCTGTACAGACCACGGGCTTGCAGAAGCATGGCAGGACTGGGTTTTTAAACTTTTTAAAATATTTCAATTACTAAATCTGGGAATTTCGCATGAGATCCCCGGAGCGCTGAGAAATAACAGTTTTCTGCAGCAGCTGCACTGACACAGAACATACACCCAGCGTCTTCCAGACTGGAATTTCCTGATGCCCCTTTTCTTACGGGGCAGGCAGACACCGAGGTGCTGCTGTGCTCGAGCAGCAGCTTTTGCTGCACCATGGAGGGACTCACACCTACTTGATCATGTGGTTGGCGTAAGCTCTGGAGCAGCACGTGCTGTAGCGGCACAGCGAACAGTGCACGTAGGTGGGAAAGTGGTTCGGGAAGTCGGGGATTTCGAAGCTGCACTCCAGGCAAGTCTGTCTCCCCAAGACACTCCTGGAGAGAAGGGGGGTATTTTCATGAGCGTCTGAAGAGGCATCTTTGGGGTTAAACAATCATCAGGACAGAGGAGAACTTAATGACAGGCAAACTTTCCCAAGTCTGCAGTCAAACGAGTTCCACCCCGCGCCCCCGCTGCCTGGGGTGCCCCGGTGCCAGGCTGAACGCTTCCCACCTGCTGCAGTCAGGAGTGCACAATTCAAGAGTGGATAAAAAAATCCCAAAGAAATAAAACCCCAAAACATGGAAGCCAATGCAGCAGGATGGGCAGCCGAGCTAATCCTGCATTGCACAGTTGCACCTTAAGGGCTTTCGTAACACGGCTTCACCCTGGTTTTGCGGGAAGCCAGAGTCTCCTGGCATAAAGTCTCCTTGGCAACTGGTAAGACAGAGCTGTCCAGTGCCGAGGACAGCACTACCCATCACTGTGGCATTAAAAAGCTCACTATATTTCCTTTCAAAATCTTTTTAAATTTGAAATTCAGTAAAACATTCTGACATTTTTTTGACGGCTCTCTTCTGGACGCTCCTCTGGACAGGTGGGTACAGGAAGATGGGCTGGGGATCGGTGGAGGATGACAGCGGAGCGCTTTCCTGTCCTGTGCCCTGCGACATGTCGTTTGAAGATATTGGCACTGCCCGTGGCTGTCCTCTAGATGCCCTGATTGTAACCTGCAGAAAACAGAGACACCTCCTCAAACACAGGGCAGAACCTATCCCAGCTCAGACCCCTCTGTTCGGAGCAGCCTGTCAGACTCTCAGCAGAGGGCACAGGGTGCTCCCAGGACACGACTCGTCCCACCCAGGGCAGCAGTCACCTAAGAGAGGACACACGACATGAGCCCAACAATACCTGTGTGTCCCTAACGAGGGTCCCCACAGCTAATGTGGGCACCTCCACGTGTAGATACCTTAGTCAGGAGAGTTTAACCTCTGGCGTGCCACCGCCACCTCCTCTCTCACTGTGGTTTACATGAAGTACCTGATCAGCTGAGCACAACACGGACAGAATTCCGCGTGTTGTCCTGTCCCAGCGAGCGTGGGTAAGCGATGCAGACGAAGCAAACATCAGTTTTGCAGCACTCAGTAAACACACACCGCTACAGACGCTCCGGGTGTTTCCCCGAGGAGACAGATCTGCTGTTAGCTCGGGTTTCTTACCTTGGTTCCAGGTTTCAATCCTTCCAATTGTTTGGGCTTTCGGAAAGTTTTGTGGTGCTGCAGCTTGTGTTCAATTTTATCCTTGGCAAATAGGAACTGGAGCCTACACTTGTTGCAGTGATAAACACTCTTCTTCTAAAGCAAATGCAAATGAGATACGTGTCATTTTAGAGAAACAGAAGTCACAACACAGCAGGGGCTTTTGTTTAAAAAAGGCAAAAGCAAATAAACCAAACACTTTTCCCCTCTCCGAAACCAAAGGCAGCCCTGTTTTCCTTCGGCATCTGAAGGTCCCTCCCCGCCAAGCCCTGTATCTTCAGTGTTTTAAATCTCCTGTTTGTTTTGGGTTTTTTTTGATTAAAATCATCAAGCTCTGCAGAGACACCAGCCCTCAAGGCCCACGGAACAAGCTCACCCAGCTTGTTCAAGGCAAAGCAAGGCTCCCAGCGGCGCAGCGACACGCTTTTTTCTGCTGCGTAACAGCGTCTGTGCTGCTCCCGAAGAAGCGGTGCCTCTTCTCCAGCACAACCCCTCGGAAAGCTCTGCAACGGCAGCGTGCAAATCCCACTTGCCACGGGCCAAACGCAGCTCTACTGAGCCCCCTCCTTCAACCAAGTTTCCTTTCTTTACCATGAGAGTTGTAGAACACTGGAGCAGGTTGCCCAGAGAGGTGGTGGATGCTCCATCCCTGGAGACGTTCAAGGCCAGGTTGGACAAGGCCCTGAGCAACCTGATCTAGTTGGAGATATCCCTGTTCCTTGCAGGACTAGATGACCTTTGAATGTCCCTTCCAGCCCGAACCATTCTATGATTCTTTCTGGTTTCATTCCGAGCAAACGCTCCACTAACCACGCGGTTACTGTCCGCTGGATTTCCGAGGGAACGGCCCCGACGGAAGGGACAGCAGCCCTGGCACAGTACCTGATGCCTCATGAAGTGCTGCTGGAAAGCGTTGCCGTTCTTGAAGACCTTGAGGCAGTACGGACAGAGCAGGTGCCGCGTGTCTTCGTGGATCATCCGGAAGTGGCTGTCCACTTCGGAATACAGCGACGAACGATACTGGCAGACCTACGGGAGCGGACGGAAACAGTTAACCCTGAAACAACACATCCACCACTGCAACATGGAGATCTTAACAGCCCAGATCCTCAAAGATAGTCATCCGTGGAGCACAGGAACCAGGTCCCAAAGAACCTGCTAGCTTATTCCAACTGGAAGATACCAAAGCAAGCAGTGTGTGTTCAGAGGCGTTTGGAGAAACAGAACTGCTTGTATAAAAAGAAAGTGGTGACAATTCAAGTTCCAGATCCAAGGAAAAAAAAAGAAAAAAAGGGAGAGAGTCAATGAAAAGCAGTTGGAATGAATTAAGAGCAGTTTCTTGAGGGTCTATGTAAAATGCAGAATTTGGAACATAATATGTTTTAACAGAACACGTTTTAGAAGTTTGTTATTTCTTTTTGGAGGGATAACGTTGGGACCTCTGAGTGGAGAGAACACATTCAGAGTCAACGCGAGCACAAATCTCATGGCAACAGAGTGTCAGGAAAAGCTATCACACAGGCAACATGATCTCATCTGCTCCAGAGTGACAACTTCTCTTCGTGGCACAGCAATTTGCCTGCAGGCCTTGGGAGGGAAGGAATTTGGCTCTGAATGCCACTGGAACTAAAGCTATCTACCGAGCTGACCCAGCTTCAGAGCACTGGGAACCACTGGCAAACATCCAGCTACTCGTGTCGCCCTAACAGCCATCGGACTTCTCCAAGTCCTCACCTGGAAAAAAACCCGCAACACGCTCCACAGCACTGTTCTGTGGCCCAACCCTGTTTCAGACCACTGTGAGCCACGTGCTTTGCTGAAAAGCATCAGATTTCATAGAATCCTGGACCGGTTTGGGTTGGAAGGGACCTCAAAGATCATCCAGTTCCAAGCCCCTGCCATGGGCAGGGACACCCTCCCCTCTTATTCTCTAGTACGCGTTTGCGAAGCGCCCAAAGCACTTCCCGTACCTGACAGACGTAGGGCATCTCCCCGGGCTTGTGGGTGTCCTTCATGTGCTGCAGGAACATCGGCTCGCTCTCGAACGCCCACTCGCAAATCTTGCACTTGGCTGCAGGAGAAAGGACAGGCAGGTAACAGCTGTTACAACACACACCACCAGTTTCAAGTTCCTTTGGTAACAACTGAAACCAAAACCAACCAAAATCCCCAAAAAACAGCTCCCAACTCTCCAAACTGGGCAGACAACCAGATACACTGAGGGCTTTCTAAAACGCAGCAAAAATTCTCTTGAACAAAACGGTGGGTACGAGTAGGAAAACGCCCTAACGAGGGACCTTCGCGTGGTTTTACATCACATGTCGACCTCCTGGTAAAAATGGAGTCCTACAGCGATGTTACTATTGAACTTGATCTTCAAAATGCTCTTGACAGTAAGTTTGCAGAGATGTCATTTAAATGGATTCTTCTGCTGGCCTCCAAAGCACCAAGGGGCAGGGCAGAACGGACACTCCTTCCCCAACAGACCCGCCGCTGAGACAAGACAGAACCCTGAACCCCGACCGAACCACAGCAGCATCAACTCACTTGTTGACTCGTAGGGACTGTGGACATTCTCCAGGTGACACTGCAGCTGAAAGGGAGTGGAGAACTGCCGGTAGCAATGCTGACAGATGGTGTGGACGTCCACCTCTCCGTTCTGCTGATCCAGCTCAACGTGGTGCTTCATGTGATTCATAAACCTTGCGGGGGTGAGGAGAAAGTGCGTGAGCAGAAGTCCAACCGTTTTGCACCTGTAACCCTGAACCGTAACTTTTCCTCTTACCGAATGTTGTTCTTTAGCCTCTTGGTGCAGTGTGGACACCTGAAGGAAGTTGGAACCTTGGGGAAGTTCAGCAGCTGGCTCACTTTGCCGCCGTCTCTGCCATAGTAGAAATCATCTACCAACATAATGAGCTTACTTTGGGATGAGTCAACTACGTTTTCACTTGTCTCTGGAGCTTTAGCAGGTGGGGACAGCGCAGGGATAGGAGTAGAAGAGGGTGGGGAAGCAACAGCTGTAGTTTTTTCTGGAGATGGAGGCTTTGCAGATTGAATATTTGGTTCAGATTCTAGAGATTTTCTTTTCTTGAGGAATTCGACCATTTCAGGGCAGCAGTACTGAAAGGAAAACAAACAACCAAAAAATCCCACACATTAAACTGTATGTAGGAAGAACTAGAGACCCTGTTACAGAGACACAGACCAACCAGCACTAAGACAAGACAGAGAACTCCAGGAAGAGAGTAATGCCGATTCAATACCCAATTTTCTGCTTTGATTGTTCACTGCTAAGTAAGATTAGAAAAGAAATGCATCTCCTGGCACCAACAGGACAAAAAACTGTGGTCCTGACTACTTCCATCGAGAGATGCCGTGGGAGGTCTTCCAAAGGCCTCTCACTTCCTCCTAGTCATTTTCTTCCTTTTCCCAGAGTCCCCTGATCTGGGGAGAAGTGCTCTTTGCACACCACAACCACGAGCAATCACCCATTAAGTGCCCGTCTCGGAACGGTTACTTACACACATATGTCCTCTTAAAGCCTCGGTGACCCGAAACTGAGCGTCACATCTCGGGCAGACCTTCCTGCCACCATCTTGCAAATCGAACGTGGGAATAGGAGATGAACTGACTGTAACAGGAAAGACACAAGAATTAGAATCCTTACACTCCATCTTCAATCCAGGCAACCTTTCCGGCACACCGACACCCTTTGGTTCCGAGAGCCGTACTTCTAACCAACGACCAGGCTGAAAGAGGCAAACACCCTGAGAAGGTGCTTTCTTTGGAAAAAGGGAAGCAAATATTTTATCCTTTTGCCTCCTTGTGTAGAGTATTTCAGGTGTGAGTATTTCTAAGACAGTAACAGGCACACCAGTAATTCTGAATGCAGAATAACGTGTGCAAGGAAATATCCATAAACAAAATATAAAAAACGTACAGATAAAGATGAAATCAACAGCAAAGCTTCTCGAGTGCTTGTGTCAGTAGTTACAGGTCAGCACCTTTTCTTACTCCAGAAAATAAACCTGGGAATTCTCAGCAGAGCCAATCGAGCCAAGATGCTGCTCCAGACCATACCTTTTAACGACGACGATGACGACGACGACTCGGAAACACTGGATCTCTGGGAACCGTGCACGGGGCTGCTGTTGGAAACCACCAGTGGGCCAGGGCTCTGTCCTAATGAAGGAATGGTGTTCAGGGTATTCACTAGCTTAGCAACCTCGTTGCTGTTCTCACCCGTCACTCCAGGCCTCTTGACAGCCACGAAGCTGGCAATGCTCACTGCCAAGGGAACGGATCACACAACAGCACTCATCAGGAATCGGGAAGATCTGATCCACCGTGAGTCCCACCCCCACCTACTATGCCTTGAGTCTTCACAAGGATGACTAAGCCACCAATTACCCTGCCCAGTAAGGCAAAGGCTGGCAAGACTGGGAAAGTGAATTTTCCCAAGCTTCCAGATTACTCTCCAAGATATGAGCCATGTCCTGCGATGAACTAAACAGGATACTCAGGGTCACAAAAATGATTTGTGCCTCTTCCCTAAAGGCGGCTGTATGTGATTCTGGCTGCTTAAAGCTAAAAATAACACAGCTACTCACTGTGTAAAGAAGTATTTTTTTGCCTTTTTAATTTGTTTGTCACTATTCTTGAGCAACCATTTCACTCGTGAATTCAGCCAGCAACAACAAAAAAAAAGCAGCAAGACCGTTAAGTTTCTGCTTGTGCTCATCACCTATTTAACTTCACCCTTCAAAAAATACAAGTGATTAACAAACAGTATTTTTCACTTTTGGGGACTTCGAACTGATGACCTCAGAACATTCTGCGAAACAAAACCGACCCAGTTCTCAAACCGAGCTGGACATGCCGGCAGGATTTGTCTTCATTTTCCAGGTGGGTAAGAGGGATGAAGCGTGAGTCAGTGACCGCGGCAAAAACAGAACCCCGGAGTTCTGACTCAACTTCTGCCTCTGAGCTGCTGGACCAAATGTTTGAAGATGAGATTATAGACAGTGTTAGGGGCTCGAGGCCCCTCGCTTTCCCGTGGCAAGTCTTACCTAATTTGGGGTTAGTAGCTGGACTGGACTGCCCTGGCTGCTGCACAGTTAACTGTCCCAGTGGTGTTGGCTGCGTTGCAGTAGGAGTTGTGGAGGTGCTGGGAGTGGACTTACTTTGCTGTTGTGCCTGGGACTGTGGTACAGTGCTCCTGATGGTGAGCGTGGCCGGAATGACCGTAGTGAAAGTGTTGGTGGCGGGTCGCACCGGCATGGTTGTACCTGGTCTCACCTGGGCCATTTGAGAGAACACCTGAGGAACCCCAACTGTCGGTTTCACAAACTGGGTACCTGGGGCTGCAAAAACAAAGGGACAAACAAGGCAGATCCAGTAACCGACTTCCATTCCCCGCACAGCAATGACTGCGTGCAACTTAATTTTCCAACACTGCTGAGCTCCCAGAACTCCCAGCAATTTCAGCGGAAGTTTTAAGTGCTCAGTACCTTAACCTCACCTCCCACACAGACTAAACCAGAACACGGATGTAGGCAGAGTGGAGGCTGTATTTACAACTTTTTTTTAGGTGGAATTTTCCAAAAGGCCCAAGGAGTTCACAAGCTTAAATCCCGCTGACTTTCACGGGGCTCACAGTCCCAGTCACTGGGCCCAATGGAAACTCACGGAAGGCTTCTCATGGCAGGACAAGGGTGATCCTACAGTTGCTAATTACTTTGTGATATGAGGCTTTGGAGATTCGTTCTGGGGAAGAGTGAAAGATGACTCGTCGCCAGCACGGCTGCTTTGTTGCCAGGCAGGTGTCTGGTGACACACGAGTTCTTCGTCTTTCTGTCGGTGCACGACAGGATGGGGAGCACTAGCATGGCAGGGGGAGATTTTGGAAGGAAGGAAGAGGGGTGGACATGGGCTGGGATCTTGGAATTAAGTTAACTGAGGAAGGTTTTTGAACAGGATAGACTACAATTACGGTTGGACTCGATGATCTCTAAGGTCTTTTCCAACCTAGAAATCTATGAAATATGGAGCTCTGAGAGGCAGACCCTCCTTCCAGCTGGAAGTCCCCTACTCTGCACAGTGGTTTGGTGCTACGCTTGAAGGGCCAACTCTCCACTGTAAGACAACTATGAGAACTGGAGCCACAACACAGGCAAGTCTCACCTGCTGCTTCACTAGAAAGTCCCCTTTAGAGCTACCAGAGATGCAGGTGAAGTACAGATTTCAAAATGGAATTTTTTTTTTTAAATCCTTGGTACTCTAAAAAGGAACACAGCAGTGGCTTTGGCTTGTTTCAGTGCTTACCTGGGACGAGGGTGATGGGTCTGACTGTCTGACCTTGCTGCACGTTCAGAACGATCCCTACTTGGTTCATCGTGTTCTGTACAGGCCGCACGTTCCTCACGGGAAATCCCTGCCGGCAAACAGCGCCGTTACCATCAGCACGCTGAGCATGTACTTCAACCACTTTCAATCTGAGCCTCCTACCCTAAAAACCAAACTGACTAAAAAATCCCCACGGCACCATCATCTCCAGATCCACTGCACTATGAGGCCACACTGCTCTCAGCCAGCCCCTCACCCAACAGCACGGCCACCTTCCTCACGCTCGACGATATCCCGATGAGAGTCTCCACTCTCAACCTCTCCTTCCTGAAGCACCTACAGGAATCTTCTCCCAGGCCTTAAACAATTTATAAAGCCATTTTTGAAGCAGAGGTAGTTCCCTGAGATAGAAAGAGTTGCAATATGCAAAGACAATTTTTTTTTTCTTTTTTTTTTTTTTCCTGGAAAGCAGGAGCTCTGGTAAACACAGACACTCATTTTGTAGGAGTGCTTCCCAGGCACACGCTTAAAGAAGCCAGTGGACATTAAAAAAAATTACCTGCACATTTCCCAGGAAAATAAACCGAAGTCATTAAGTACTAAGCAAGGCCAAACTCACGCAGAGCGGACAGACCACCCCACAGCAGGGAGCCAGGCCCTACTGGTAAGGCTTCCAGTGGGAGTCAGCGTGAAGCCCCATCAGACCTGTGCTGGCTCCACAGGACCTGCCGAGGTGTGGAACGTGGCCAATTTTCTCAAGTGAGATTCAACTGCAAAACGCTTCGGAGCACAAACAAAACTATTCCTAAATCTGCATCAATTAAAGAACAAAAACCCAACAGATTTCAGCCCAAGTGTAACATCCACTAAAGCACACAAGAAAAACTGAAACAGGCATCCGACTATTCCTCAACAGAGGACAGTTCCACGGATGAGCGTACCAGGTCGTCTGCCCCAGCACCCACCTGGGTGGTTATGAAGATGGGCTGGCTGGTCACCGGAGAGTTCGTGACGTGGTTGGCGTTCTGCATGATCTGCACGGGTCGCAACACTGGCTGAGTCACCATCGTGCCCAGACCCGAGGCCGGGTTCTGGGTGAGGATTAGCGGCTGCCCACTTTGCTGAACGAGAGGGTTGCCAGCTGGAAGGAAAACAAACACGGCAGAAGGCACGTTTGTCAGGTGCAAGGGCTGCTGCTTCTCACGCGCACGCAGGCGGCAGTTTTAGCCTGCAGAACTCGAAGGAGTTTTCCACTTTAAAAGTAAACTTGTGAAAACATCCGACCCTTCCTCGGATTGTTTTAGCGTTCACATTTAGGCGAGGAGTTTCCAAGCGGCCCAGGGACTAGATGTTCAACTCCCTCAGCCTTGAGCAATCTCAGAGACGGATTGTTCTGGCTCCTCCGTGCCCTCTGAACGCTGCCATGGCAGCTAAAGAAAGTGTGGTGGGGTTTTTTTCTAGTCTCATTAGCTATTAAGTAAAAATTCACCTGCTGGCAGATACTGGGAAAACTTAACGCTGAACCACTACAACCCCCGGGATAGGATGTGTCCCACAAGTAGAACAACAATGAAAGTTTCTCTTAGACTTTAACAAAAGGAGGAGGATAAAAAAAGTGATTAGGAAAATCTGGATCACACTGACGTCATGACACGCAGTCTGTGTCATAAGAATCTCTTAGAATGGTTCAAAGTGCTTATTTTCTTGATTCAAAAGTGAAATGTCCTGCTTGGAAAAAAAAAGATGAGGAAGAGACAGTAGTTCTATCACTGAACTCAACGCCCTCAACATCACCCCACACGCAAATGTCACACGAGCCCTTTGGTGTGAAGCACGTTCGCACACTCGCCAGCAACCCGTCACGGCACCTTCGCACGACACCAGTCCGCCCAGACCCACTGTGCAGGTGCTCCTGGCCAGCTCCACTGGGAAGTGCAACCACTCAGCTTGGAACATCTCCGCAGGGGTTTATACTGGTGGATTTCGTTCAGCGTTTGCCTGTTTGACAACAGCTTGCACTTCACTCTGAGCAGCAGTAACTCGCACAAACAAGCGATGCGCAGCGCCACTGCCCAGCCCCGCTGACCAACGCCTGGCCCCGGCCCGTGATCCCAAAGAACTCCTGAAACACGCTCCTGGAAAAAGAGAGCCCCAAAGAACGAGCTGTGTGTTCCACGACACAGAATATTCCATTGGCCAATCCGGGCCTCAGTCCTAAGCCTAAAATCAAACCCTGAAGTAGGGAGCTGTGAGCCCGTTGTTCCGGCTCTGCTCCCTCCCAGCTTGCTGCGCGTCGGCAAAACACGGCAAGCTGCAAAGCCCTTGATTTCCTTGGCAACAACTGAAAACATCGGTACGTTATCAGCATTCTTCTCATACCAAACTCCATACCAAATCCAAAACCCAGCACTCTTCCAGCTACTAAGCAGCGAGGCAGCCCTGTCCCACGCGGAACCAGGACGGGTGCTCATCACCTCGGGACGTTCCGACTGCCAACATCCCACCACCGCTGCTGGATTACCCAACGCTTTCCATCACCTGCAGGTGACAGAGTTATCCCATTGCTTTGTGAACTGCAAACTGTACGGATCAAGTTTCCTACGAGGGGGGTCTGCCTCAATGATTTATTTTTTTTTTGTGGTAGGCTGCAACAAGTAAAATTGTTCAGTCGTTGAAGAAAAGCAAAATTTGCTGCTTCTGGTGCTTTTTTTCCTTGCAGTGTTTTCCTCTGCACCGTTGCTCAAGGGCCTTCCACGGTCTCCGACTACCCCCAGGAAAACCCACGTCCATCAGCTTCTGGCCGCCTCCGTTTGCAGCAGCCCAGCAGACACGCACTGGCAGTTGGCCGTGTCCTTCAGCCAACATCCCATCTGTCCCACGTGTGCTCCCAGTTCCATAGGCTCCTACTTGCCAACCAGAGCAGACTCGCAATATTTGCGGAGCGAGACAATCCAAACCCAGGAATCCTGCCCAACTGCTTCTGGCAACCTGGGGGCTAACGCTGCACCAAAACCCCCCATCCACTGTCAGCGTCTGCTGGCACCCGAGAGACGAGGAAGGAATTACAAGGCAGAGAAGAAAGGATGAGGGAGGAGGCTGGGAAGAAGCGTTCCAGTGGAAGATGGGATGAAATGGTGTACAACCACCAACGCACTGGTTCAGAGAACACGGAACCGACACACGCTAACGATGCTCAGCAGAACGCTTCCAGCGTCGTCACCCTTCGGCGGCCCGTCCCGGAGGATGGACACAGCTCTGCTCCCATCAGCCCAAGCCCGTGCGTGGATCAAGCTCAGAAGCAACCCTGAAGGTGGGCTGCTGGTGTTTTCGTACATGCTCTGACACCACCAGCTCTAACTCACGCCCAGGCACCACGTTCCCCACAGAAAGCCGCCTCGCTGCGGGCACGGCGTGCGAACGCAAAGCTGCGCGGGAAACGAGGCGGCGTCTGAACGTGCCCGACTCCCGCGCCGTAAATGATGGGAATACGATGGGAGCAAGGCACCACCGGAGAGAGGGGCGTTTTGGTTCCTATCATCTGGGGGAAAAGTGAATCTTATCCCATTAAGCAGTTTGGCAAAAACTTTACTTTTTACTCCGGTGATCGCTGCACCTTCGTCTCCCAAGTGCCACGCGACGTGCACGGGTGACGGGTCAGGTGTGACGACAGCCAGGAGCTTACGACAGCCAGAGATCCGCACGTACAGAACGCATCACCTTGTCTAAATATCGTGAGGAAGGGGAAAACATTAAAAAAAAAAATTAAAAATTAGGCCACAAGTACTTCAAACAACTCCGGAGAACGAGCAGGACACTTATTTGGGCTTCAGCTCCTCCTTCCTCGACCCCATTCTTCCTCACAGAGTTTTGTGTTTCTGCACCGCTCCATCCCGCTGTCACCATAACCACACCGGTCACGGCGATAACCGAGTTCCAGACCACCAGAGGTGGGCACGGCACAGGAAGCCCCACAGGAACCTTCCCACCCAGATCTGTGGCACAACATGGCACCAGACTGACAGGATACCCAGGCTCCTTCAGGGCTGCAGAACGGCCCAGCATCCCGGGAATGGCTGATGCTGGAGGAAAGGGCGGTTGTGCCCGAACCGCAAACGTTTCCCACGTAACTGCAAATGCAGGAGGAGACCTGCCGCGTGCCAGGACGTTCTGACCTGCAGCCAAAACAGCTTCTTTCAACAGAAGATGCTTCCACTGACAGTCTGGCTGCTGCCTGGCAATCCTCCAAGTGTTTCCCGGAAGATGACACCCAGCAGAGGCAGGAGGGTGACAGAAGACTCGCCCAGAAGGTTCCCAGCTGAGCCACACAACTTTGCCAGGCACTTGCAGGTGTCCGAGGAGCCTTCCATCATTCTCCAAAGTAACTGGAGACGGCTCCTGCACTCTCCAAACCCATCTCCAGAAAGCACGGAAGGGCGAACGCCGCTCCAAGACACATCCTTCAAGACATGGGAAGCACAGAGAGCAAAGCCAAGAGGAGCTTCTGCCATAAAACCACTCCCCAGAGGACAGGTTAGCTCAGCCTGATGTGAACACACCTCACTTTTAGTCAACAAGCGTCAGAGAAAAATTGTACTGGAGTTTTTACAGCATTCAGGGAGAGAGGGATCGCAGGCGGCACGCTGCAGGCGTCCTGGCACTCTGGTGCAGGCAGGAATTCAAACTGGACCAAGTTCTCTCACTTCCCATCCCAACCTGACTTCCCCAGGCACTGCTACACGTTTGCTGTGTGTTACACACAAACGCAGCGTCTTCTTCTAGAGTTTCTTTATTTTCAGGAAAAAACGCACTTTGTGATTCTTCTGGTGAAAAGAGCTGCAGAAATGCAAGTTATTTTTTTATCTGATGGTGGAATTATTGAAAAGGAGCCAAGCTGTCAGGCTGGTGTGCCAGGGGGCACCCATCTCGTTTTCTTGTCAAACCACCACTGCCTTTACTGGCACGAGGACTCTGGAAACGGACAGACATGTACGTTACCCCAGCTACGCACCTATCCGTGCCGCAGGAATGGTTTGAGGGGATACAGGTACAGCCTAAAGCAATCGAAGGAAATTAAGGAAAGGAAAAATTAGGCCGAGCGTCACTTCAAATATATTTAGCTTCCAGTAATTTTTCCTTTTATGTCCCAGTAATTTCAGACATTTTAGAACTCATCTGCAGGGAGAAAGTCAGCTCCAGCAGAAAGATGGAAAAAGATGAGCTAAAAGACATTTCCATCTCTAGCTTGGAAAGCCTGTTTTTTTGGTTTTTGGACACGGGGTCGTTTCTGTCCAGCCCAGTCCGCACTTCTGCTCTGTTAATTCCGAAGAGAACGGGTGGTTTGTGCGCACCGACGCTGCGAGGAGCGGAACACTTCCCGAGAAACCCCGCCACGTGTTTGCGCACGTATGATCCTGGAAGTCAGACGTTTACCAACATGGATGCTGTCATTTAAGAGGAGGATAAATTTGAGGTCTCCAGGCTTGCTCATAACAAATTACAACCTAGAGGGGAAAAAAAACCCAAACAAAATCCAACAAAACCTTACGCTGGGAGAATGGATAGATTTAACGGGTCTTTTTCAGCCCTAGCTTGTAAGTCTTTTTAATTAATGTAAACCAAAATGCAAGACGACAGCCATGAGCGTAAAAAACAGATTGCTGGGAGCTGGGACGACTCCAGACACGGCTCATTTCGCCAGCGTTCCACACAGTCACCGCTTCAACTGGGATGTGACCCCCAGTCACCAGGCCAGCAGGGACCGCAGGGACCGAGGAGGTGACAGATGTCCCCGTGGCACTTTGCCACTCAAAATCCTCGCTGGCATCGAGCCAAAAAGGATTCCCCTGCAAGTCAAGTCATGTCATGCGAGCTGGCAGGGGCTCGGCGAACACAACACTCGGGAAAGAAAAGGCCATGCTGGAGGCTGAAGAATTTTATTTGTATCGGTCCTGAAGTTAACGGGCCAAGCTACCCTCTGCCACACCAACGCAACCAGGAGGAGGATTTGCTCCACCATAAGCACCGAAGCGCTCCAGAGACACACAAAATCCAGCATGTTCCCATGTTTTTTCACCTAACAGCACCCACCTTAAAGCACTAAAAGTCCACCACTCGATGAGGGAGAAAGGCCGTGGTGGCGACCGGGCACAGCACTACCAACAGCATGTCCCTCACACCCGCAGAGTGTTTCCATTCCAGCAGATCAGAAAAACACAAACACGACCCACACCACCACGCTCACCCTGAAACACGCAGCCCTAACTGATGCTGAACGCTTCGTTTCGCCAAAGCCAGCAGAGCTGCCCAAGCTGCCAAGCCATACACTGGGAAGCAGCTGTGTCTTGCGGCTGTGCAGGTCGTTTCCCTCTCTCCTCCGAGACGTTAAGACTTTTCCAGCAGTCCAAGAGCAGTTCTCTGATCAAACGGTACTTCAGAAGTTCCACAAACCCTCCTCCGCACGCAGACTCGCACCGCGGGGCAGAGAGATCCCGACACGCAACGCCGCGGCACGAGAAGGGGGCAAACCCGGTGCCGGGGCACCGCGGCACGGCGATCCCCGCTCCGGTCACTGCCACGGCCGTAACCGGTGATGAGATGACACCCTGCAGGAGACACACAAAAGGAAAAGGACTACGGAAAGCAGTAGATGGAGTCGCAGCGAGTAATGTCCCTGCCCGACTTCAGGTTTTTGACCTGGGGACTGAAATCTGAAGGTTTTACTTCCCCAGCAGCGACCACTAACCCTGTCTGCAAACCACAATAAAATAATAAGCGTGTAAAAGACGACCACAGGTAGCCACACCTGTGGTCGCATCGCTCTGGTACAGACTGGAGCGATCCACGTCTAGAAACGTAACACTGGCTTTTCAGGGAAAGGTTCTCCAAAGCCTGGAAGGAACTCAGCCCTTCGGAAAACGGATCCGTGTACGTCTGAACGGTGCCACCCATACTGAACAACAGCATTTCCAGTTAGTGTGCAGCAACCTCCCGAACCTCCAACGCTCTCGCAGCCCAGAGAGGATGCTGGGATAATGGGACCATGCAAAAATGGACTGGGGAAGGACACGGAAACCACCACAACTTGTTTTCTTTTCAGCATTCCTCACTACACTCCCAAGCCACAGGCCGGAGCTCCGGGTTACTTCGCGGAGCGTACCGTGACCCTTGTTTTTGGGACAAACGAATAAAAGGAACAAAGGAGAAAGTTTCTCGGACTGTCGTGATTCTGTGCAGCCCTTTCAAATTTCAGATGTGACAAGGCCTGTCCAGACTAGATTCCTGTACAAATTCCACTGGTTTGATGAGATCCAGGAATCATTTGGATAGCAGATCCTAGGGGGGCATATTGGAGCTGGTCAGGAGAACATACAAATATTTTACTGATAAATATATTGCTATTAGCAGGCTATTTTTTCAGTAGCCACATGCATTTTTCTTTTTTTTCCAGCCGTTAATCTAATTATAACGCTGATATCACCAAGCCTTTATTAATTTTTGTAATTGATTCAGAACATCTGTCTCAATTTACTTTTATTAATAAAGCTATGAAATATTCATCACAAGTGTATTAAGTAGTGCTGTCCAATACATTTGGATTTCAAGATACTTTCCAGACGCTCCCAACACATGTACCAGTTTCAAACAGCGCACAGAACCTTCCTCATTACTCGTGTCTGACCAAATTTTACTAAAAAACACGCAGTGATTTTTAAGTGAGTTTGACAAACATTCTTACAGCTCCTTAATCCCAAAGAATCCCAAACCCACTTTACACCTCAGTATATTAAGTTACGCAGAGAGATTGCCTAAGCTGTATTTGAAACGAAGTACGACAACCCTTTAACAGCAAAAAGAAACAGAATTATTCACCTTGGAACTTGGCCAACGTGCCAGTTTAACACATCTACTACGGCAAAACACGTCACGATGCACCAGGGCGGCCCTGAGTAATCAGGATCTTCACTTTATCCCTTACCTGGAGGGTAATGCTACTAATGGTGATTTCCACCACGTGGGGACACTGGATTCACTCTCGAGCCGCACAAAGCCAGCTGCTGCTCCCTGCAGCCCCTGCAAGGCTGAGCATGGCTCCCGGCCACACGCTGCCCTCGCACCTCCCTGCGCTGCCCGTGAGACCTCACGTGCCCGCGGCACAGGATGGCGACGGCAAGCGAGCCCCACGCTCCCGCTGCGCACCCCGAGCCGCTCCTGCTTGCCACCGCTGCTCACAAACACTGGCACCAGTGTCTTCTCAGCACTGGCACCATTCTGAGCCCTACTGCCGCTGACTGACACGGCTGCAGAGGGATTAGCACCCACGGGTGCCTGGGCAACAGCTGCCAGAGGGGCACAAACAGGCTGCAGGCTCACTGAAACTCCTAGGAAGGGACTGCACAATTGTATTTCGGAAAAAAACAAACAGAGAAAGCACAATTTGTTTGTAGAGACGCTGCCTGGCTGCACTGCCATACTGTCACACTCGGAAGTTTTTAGCTTCGTCCAACAGTCCACACTCGCACCCAGAGCTGCTTCAGCTCTGTGCCTTCCACCAAACAGCACGAGCAAGAGAAATTCAGCTTACTCAGGACCACTGTTAGTTTTATTTCTGTTCCAACCTGTCTACGACTGAATCGCTTTGTCCTTCCTACCCTCCTACCTTGACATCTCCAAACACCATTCACAGCAAGCTCCTCCTAAACCCTCCCTGGTAGGAAGGCCAGAGGAAGCGGCTGACAGCCGTCAGCAGTAGAAGAACACCCTTTCCTACGCAGAGACAACCTCCTTCTGCTCACCTCCCGTTATCGACCAGCTTTCCAAAGCCCCGAGCACTGGATACGTTCACAACCAACCGGAGTCGTGCGGGACAGGTACTGCCACAGCGTCGGCAGCACTGCCAAGAACGGTCCCACAGCGCTTCGCACTGGGATCAGAGCTCAGGAGCGCAGCCGCGACGCGTTGAGCCACCGTCACTAGTTCTCCCTGGCCCAGAACAAGACACAGACCCATCTCTGTCCCGGATACGAAGCTGATGCTTTTCCTGATCTTGACAAAGAGAAAGTAACGGAAACAGCTGAACAAAAGCCTAACTTATTCCACATGCCAGCCTACTTCACCCACACACATAACTCCGGTAAGAATCCCGTTTTCCACGCACCAGACTCAAGTGTTTGGCGAGAACCAAAACGGACAGTGAATACAAGCTTTTCTCATTACAGTCACGTTTCATTTTCTCCCAAATTGTGAGCTGTTTGACAAAGTTCCATTTGCATAAGACAGGTATATGCACAGTGGCCCACCCACTGCGTTGATACCAACAGAAACCAGCAATCAGAAAGCATCATCCCTGTATCTTTCCTTAGTAGGGTTCTGTTACAAACTGAGTCCTCATATAGCATCTGAACAACAAAGCCTCTCACCTGTCGATTATTGCTTTTTATGTGTCCAAATTTCTCACAATTTGAGACAATATTGGATAACAACATACTCCAACCTGCACGTTCAATGCAAACTCCAAACACTGAAGTGATGCATCTTTCCATTTGCAGAAAACAAGCCCAAAAAAAGAACAATTGAAACTGATTGTATCAGATGATGGGTTAAAGAAGTAATAAGCTAGTTTTAAATCTCACTAGTTCAACTACGTAAGTGAAGTCACAGGAAATACAATTCACTGATCGAATACCTGACTTCCTCCCTCATTTCAAAACTGCTGGAAGGATCAAAACTGAGTCACCCTGAACGCTGATCCGTACTAAAGCACTGTGCAAAATAAAAAGCATCATCTTCCATCCACATTATCAATTCTCTGCCGCTGTTTCCCAGGACAGCCGTCCTCATGCAGCACCACAGTGTCAGCTCTCCCGAGCGCCCCGCAGCTCTGCTCACAAACTGAAGTTTTTGCATTCCTCATTAACAGGTGTTTCAGCCAGCAAACAAGACTCCTTACTGGGAAGGTGTGACCAGTCACTGCCATTTCTCCCTAACACCGATAACGGGAACAGTTCTAGACTAAAAGAGTTCATTACCCGTAGCAGTTTTATCAACTGAATTATAATCCTCAACAACAGAATCTTCAATCACGTCACTGATTTTCTGCCATGGTTCCAGCTCTTCCTCCTCACATTCCATAAAAAGGTCCGTGTCCGCCATCCTGCAAAGGGAAAAGAGAGACCTTTATTGGAAAGTTGTGGTGTGTCAGGCAGCAGAAGCCTCATTATAAGAAAAACTCTAATGGCAGAAATACGAACAATGTTTTTACTTCCCAGTATTCCAAAGGAAAAAACAAACCCAACTGATCCCACAACCTACTTTCATAGGCTTTGTTTTCTTTTCAGGTAAGTCTGGGAAGTTGGTGCTGAAAATCCTTGGTTTTGACTTAACATGGCAGTGGTTTTGCCTCTCCTGCATAAGGAAGCCAACCTAAGAGCTCTGAAATCAGGAGTCACCACCCCAAATCTCAGCACCTTTAAGTAAATCAGGACCTGTGACTGAAAGACGAATCACAGTCTTTATTCTGTTCATGGTTTTGAATATTCAGGATTACTGCCAACACACGACAGCCACTGAATATCCGAGCTTAAACGAGCGAAAAAACGTGTGTACATGTGTGCAAACAGTCCTTGGTAACCTCAGCCAAGCTCCCCATGGAGCCCCCAGGTACCCAAACCCCGCACGCTGCCACAGCCCCGGCTCCTCATCTTCCTCGCGGTGGGGAAGCTGACTAGTTCGAAGAGAAAAAAGTAAAGGGATTTTCTGCAATTAGATCCATAGTTATTGTCTTCCAACCCAAACGAACGCTCTCCTGATCTCCAGGGCAAAGTACCCGATTCAGCTTTGCCGCGCGACTCGCTGCGGGGAACAACCATCGCTGTTTATTCAGAGAAAGGCACAACAGACAATTCCAGCCTGTTTCCTCTCTCCGCATGAATAAGCCTCTCGTCGTTGCCACCAGTCCCAAAAACGCCCGTTTTGGCTGCGTCTTTGTGAGCTGTCAGGCAGCAAACCCACAGGCAATGCCACCAGCAGGGGGGCATCACCGCCCAGACCACGGCACTGCAACACGGACACTCACAGCGTCGCTTTGTGCCCCGTGATTTCTCTCTCCTCCCGCTCCGTGTGCTGCTCTGAGCACCACGGCGCACACACAGGTTTTTAGGAACATGCCACAGTCAGAGTCGAGTGTCCTCTCCCGGGACCGCACCGAATCCGGACCTCGACCACGTGTAAATCCGTACGCGTTTGAAGAGAAGAGTTCAGTGGAACAGTGACCACCAAGCCAGGGTGAAAACCGAGGTGGGTTAACACTGCCGAAGGTCTCAAGTGTCCTACACGAGATCTTGTCTCAGAAGGTGGGAGAGCTGCCACCAAAGGGCTCCAAAAAGCTGATTTTCACTCGTATTGTTGAGGTCTAATCAACAGACACACTTCGCTCGCACTTCGGCAACTTCCAAGCCCTTAAGCCCAGCTGCTGACGGGAGCTTTCTCCCAGACCTGGCTTTGCTTTGTTTCAGGATTTGGCTGTTTCTAAACTTCACTTAGAAACGATGCTTATGCAAAATTTTAATTCTCCTTAATAATACATTTAGGAGTCTTCAACCAATATGAATAATTCTAGAAGCTCAACTGCGTTTTTAAAGGAATTAAGGATTATTATAGGAAACAAAACACCACAAAAACCCGATTTCCTAATTTCCCACCTGGGTTATAGTAAAAGAAATCAATTCTTTCCCTCTGCTATCAACCACCAGACAGGCTGGCGAGCAGGACAAGTGGCAGCTCTGCACTGTGAGTGAACTGGAACCACGCTGTCTAGAAGGGATCCTGCAGCTCTTGATCACCTTTTGGTGGCAAAAGAGACAGTTATGATTGCATCTTGCCATCTCTACTACCATTTGACAGCCATAAAAATCTGATGAGAAACGTTCTGAGACAAACTGGCCAAAATAAACAGCTTACAATAGGGGACAAGCAAGAAAATAATCCAACTCACGTGCAGACAATCTGTGTTTTCAATAGCCACAGAAACCAGGGCTGACCAAAGGGCTTAAACACAGAGTAACATTTATCAGCTCCCTGTTGAAAAACTGGAAGAGACGTAGCTTTAAAATATAAACTGGATTAAGTAACCACAGAGCAATTAAATTATAAGTCTTAGATCATTAGGGTATGTCTACCCTTCTTATCCGAGCAGAGCCGTGGCCACACCAGTGCTCCACCCGCCAGGAATCTCAGCCTGTCCGTCGGCGAAAGGCAGTGAGTAATTCTCACTTCCCAACTACACTTTTGAAGCACAGTTATGCTCATTTTAAGAACAACACAAAGAATGACATTTAAGGGAAGCCCACTGCACCGCTCGTGTTCCGCAGCCCATCTTTTCTTCCCCACGTCCTCAAGGTTTACACTGATACAAGAGCAGAAGTGGTTTGTCTCATCCTGTGTGCACCTCTGCACCAGGGGTCCC